TCGCCCGATCGTGCTAGAGGCTCGCACGATCGGGCGCGCCTTAGCATGCACAACACTATGGTTTGCCGCGCCCGATCGGGCTAGAGGTTTCCCGATCGGGTCTTTGCTCCCCTTTGAGGCTTGGACTTCGATTGGGCTAGATTTCTCGGCCCAGTCCGGATTTCCTCTCGGGTCTTGAATACTTGGTCCAAATCCCTCGGGATCCCAATTACCGAGCCCTTAATCACCGGCTCTCACCGATCCTGGGCTCCAAAAGTGGTCGTGTCCTTCTAGCTTCCGTAGTTGATCCATAAAGCCCGGGAAAATGCTCCAAGAGTGCAATTTCCTGTAAAATACAACTAAAACTACGAAAACACTAGAACACACAAATTAGTAATAATAGTGGCCCGAAAGAGCCAAAAACACTACTAATAACGACCAAGGGACGGGGGTAAAACACTATATAAAATGGACACATAACTTTGCATGATGAGAATGACCCACTGCCCTTCCCCTCAGAGTTACAGGCTTCATCAAAACAAAACCAACCCAAAACTGTGAGGTCCAAAACTGTGACACCCAAAAAAATTGAAGTGAGGAGGGGACCACCAGTGAGATCTAGTCCAAGAAAGCAAATTCAGCCATTGACTATTGTTGAACCTTCCCAAAAAGCCCCTGACAGCTCACCCAAGCCAAAAAAAGATGCTCCCACAGAATTTATTCCAAATCCACCATCCATTTCCTTATCTAACCAAAGTACATTTAAAGTAAAATATGTTATAAACCCTAGTAGCATATCTGAAATAGGGCAGCCCCCTAATGTTTCTAAAATTATAGCAGCCTCCAAAAACACAAACACAGACCCTATTGACAACTATGAGTGGGAAGATTCAAGGCCTGACAGACCTATCCCCATTAATGACTTGATACCAGATTACTTTAGTGAGAGTGACAAAGATGACCCTAGTTACAACCCAGTAGTTGATAAGGGCAAAGGGGTGGTGAGTCAGCCTTTCTTTGGAGATGTTTACACAGATGAGGAGGGGAGTGGTGAGGATTTAGATGCTGAGGAAAAAGGAGCTGAGGGTTTAGATGCTGAGGTTTATAGTTTAGAGGAGATAGAGGAAGAGTTTGAGAAGGAGACAGAAGAGATCTTGGATGAGGAGCTTCAATATCAGTCTGATAGTGGGGATGAAGAGTATAACATAGCTAGGCAAAGGGTAAGGGATACCACTGCTCAGCTTGTTGAGGTAGCAAGGAAAATTCAACTTGAAGCAGCTAAGGGTTTGAACATACACCAGGAAGTGGAAGGGAACAGGACAGAGTTAAAGAACAAGACAGAGGCTGAGCTAAGTGCAACTGCTGATGCTTCTGGGCCCCATAGTGATTATGAAGAGAGTGATGAGGAAATACACACACCTCCTGAAAGTGGTGAGGAAGATTTGATTGCTGGAAGGAGACAAAGATTGGGTCTGTTGGTGTCCAAGCATACAGATTTTGCAACTTTTGAGTTGAAAGTTGGGCAAAAATTTGCAAACAGAGAGGAATTCAAGAATGTTGTAGCTAAATATGGAGTGTTGCAGGGAAGAAATGTGAGCATTGTTGTGAGTGATAAAAAGAGATCTCAAAGGTTGGGTGTGAAATGCATAGAAAGCTGTCCATTCTATGTATATGCTTCATGGGATACTAGGAGAGCTACAATAGTGGTTAAGACAATGAAAGGTTCTCACACTTGTCAGAGAAATATGAAAAGGAACAGGCAACTGAAATCAAATTGGGTTGCACAACAATTTCTTGATGTGTTTAAGACAAGGCCACATTGGCCAGCAAAGGAAATTGTTGAGTGTGTAAGGAAGGCATACAGGATGCTTGTAACAAGAGACTTTGCTTACAGAGTTAAATATAATGCCCATAAAATGTTACATGGGTCAATGCATGATCACTACAACAAGCTGGGTGGGTATTTGAAGGCAATAGAAGAATGCAGTCCTGGAACAGAGTTGGAGCTTGTTACTGACACTGAAAAGCAAGTTTTCCCACCAATTTTCCAGAGGCTATTTGTATGTATTGAAGGTCTCAAAACTGGGTGGTTGCAAGGTTGTAGGAAGGTCTTGGCAGTTGATGCATGTTTTCTAAAGACCTTTTTGGGGGGTCAACTGTTGGCTGCTGTTGGTAGGGACAGTAATGATCAAATGTTCCCTGTGTGTTGGGCTGTAGTTGAGGGTGAGAACAACTCCAGCTGGGAGTGGTTGTTATGTTAGTGTTTTGTGTTCAATCTGCTGATGTTTTGTTGTTTCTGATGCTTGGCTATGATGACAGAGTATAGTGCACAATGTCTCAACTGTTTTGCCTAAGGTAGAGCACAAACACTGCGCTAGACACATATTTGCTCATTGGCACAAGAAGTACAGAGGGGATGATATGAAGCTTCTCTTTTGGAGGAGTGCTAAATCATACAATATGGCTGACTATAATGAGGGACTGAAGAAGCTTGGAGAGTTGAATATAGAAGCTGCAAATGATTTCAAACTGCATAGGCCTGAATTGTTCTGCAGAGCCTTTTTGAGTCCTGGAGTGAAGACTGATGCTATTACTTCAAATATAGCTGAGACATTCAATGGCTTCATCATCCAGGCAAGGACTAAACACTTGCCTTTCATGCTAGAAGACATCAGAACAGCACTGATGCAGAGACTGGTGGTCAAAAGACAAGACATGATGAAGGGCGCATCAATGCTATGTCCAAGAATCCAAGCCAAGTTGGAGGTGGAGAAGGCAAAGGCTGCAGACTGTGAAGTATCTATATCATCTGAAACTCTGTTCAATGTCAATTACTACTTAGATCAAGAGGTGGTGAACTTGGAGACAAGATCATGTACATGTAGGAAATGGGATATGCTAGGCATCCCATGCTGCCATGCAGTGGCATCCATCTACTTTGTGGGCAAGGAACCAAAGCTGTTTGTGGACAAATGCTACTACAGGGAGACTTATTTGTCAGTGTATGCAGGTAATAGGATGCTACTTTGTGACTTTTTTCTCCAATTCATTGTTGTATGTATTGAATTTGTGAGTAATCCAAATTTGTTGTGGCTTTTGTTAGGTTCCATTCCACCAATTCAAGGTCAAAGATACTGGCCTGAAGTGTCTATGCCTATTGACCCTCCGCCAATTAAATTGGTCTAGGGAGGCCAAGGAAAAATCGAATCAAAGATCCCTTTAAGAACCCCAAAAAGTCAGGTTCTTTGACAAGGACAGGGATTGAAATGACTTGTTCCTTGTGCAATACCAAAGGGCACAACAAAAGGAAGTGTCCAAACAAGGACTCTGTACAGCCATCTGAACCAGCTCCAAAAAGGGCAAAAGGGAGGCCAAGGAAGGATGCTGACCATGCTGCAAGTACTCCAAATCCAACTGCATCTGCAGCTCAAACTACAACATCATCAGTCCAAGCTTCTCAAGCTACAGCACACCACTCCATGACTGCACAACCTACCATACTTGGTAGAGGAGGAAGAACAGTGTTCATGGGGAGGGGTTCAAGGGGTGGCAGGGGTGCTGGAGTTGCTGCAGCCAATGCAGGAAGGGGAAGAGGTTCTGATGCTGTAGGAAGGGGGAGGGGTTCAGAAGCTGTAGGAAGGGGAAGGGGAATAAGTTCTGATGCTGCTGCAGGAAGGGGAAGGGGTGCAGATGCTAGTGGAAGGGGGAGGGGTAGGACAAGGGGTAGGGGCAGAGGAAGGCACCAGGTTCCAAAAGGTGTTGGTGTTTACATTGCACAAGATGGATCTGCACTGACTAGTGTAAGTGAAATTAGGGTGGAATTCAGTGTTTATGTAGCTTTTGCTTGCAACTGATGTCATTTTTAAAAAAAAAAGAAAAACAGAACCAAGGTAACCACAGAAGAGGAAGGTCAGCAATGGATTGGTTCTAGTGCAGTCAAGGAAGTCAAGGCTCCACCTTACATCAACCAACTCAGTAGTTAACTATGAAATGCCATGATTGTACCTAACTTTTGGTGTAACAAGATATTTTAGTGTTTAGGCAATAGTTTGTTAAAGTCAGCTTTTGGAAACAGTCTTTTAGGCATGTTGGCTTTAAGTAAATTTGCCTATTACAATGTCATGGCATGAACCATTGCAGGGTTCTTTTTGTGTCTTTTGGACAAAACAATTTCAACTTATTATGTTCAATATAACAACTATCCTTAATGTGTTCATTTGTTCTGAATTTGTAACCAAATGCTAGTCAAAGTACCTACTTTTTATTCATTAAATCATTGATACATATCTTGCATTAGCATCATGTTCTTTCACCATACAAGTCAACCTAAACTAATACACTCTAACAACCTAAACTAATACACTCTAACAACATCACTGTCATGGCTTCAAATACACCAAAAGAAAAGCAAAGAAAATCCAAGACACAAACAAAGCAATGGAGAAATTTTTTTCATTCCTTGAAGCCTTCATCAGTTCAATTCTAGTGTGGCAAAGCTCCATTTTTGTATCATTCAACTCATCCTCCTTAATTCCCAAATTCTTCTCCAATTTCCTCAGTTGCTCCTTCATGAAGTCTATTTCAATCTCCTTTTCAGCAACTTGGGTATCTCTCTCAAAAACCTGGAATCGTAGATCTTCTAGGTCCTTAGGGTTAACATTAACCCACTGAAAGAATCCACAATCACCCTCCTGAAATAGAATCAATTAAACCCCTAAATTAATTGCCTTTCAAACCCTAATTTGATTTAGCCAATTCAATTTTGTTACAACAAATTAGAAAGTTTAATCACAAAATTGAATGTTAAAATAACACTTACAGGCCATTTGAGCATCCATAGAACTTCATACCCGCGTTATCACCATTCCTCACAGTTCGAATTATAGCTTCCACCCCGCATCTGCACTTAATTTTTGGGTAAGCAGAACCAAACGACCTTGACGAATTTGAAGCAGAACCAATTTCACGCCTATTATTCATTGTCTTTATTTCCAGAGAGAAGAGAGGGATTTGAAATTGGAAGCTGAGAGCAACAATGGAGTTCAATTTTTTTTAACAGACACAGAAAGAAGAAGAACAAGATCGAGCATTTAAAGGACGTGGCATTTAAAAAAGAATAAAACAAAAAATTAAAAATAATATAACCGTTGGAAGCCACGTAGGACTAAAACCGACAACAGTAAGTGAAGTAACCTCTAAGGAGTGTTAAAAAAGAACGGGGGGTAAAGGTCGGATTATTAAAAAAAAAAACCCAAAGGTGGGATTATTAAAATTCAATGCACCAAAGGTGGGATTAATCCCATCAATTTTTCCTTAAGAAAATGAAATAAGTATTTAAAACAGCCGAAAATTCGAAAATGGATAGACAAAATCCCCATTCTCCGGCACTAGAGAACAACGGGAAAAAATATGCAAAGCCTTATATGTCCACGGTGCACCGACCCATACGTGGGAAGAGCTTATGTTATTTAAATAATTAAATTCATTTAATTTTGCAATTTCTGTCAGACTCAAACCCGTGTTTCAATTTCAAGACCCCTCCTCTGATTACACCATTTTTCATTTTCTCTCTCCTACCATTTGCAAACAAAATAACAAGTATCCAAAGACGATCAATATTCTAAAGTGCCCAATCTAGAACAATCTAGATTCAATTTCTACTGCAAATTACACTTTAATTACAATCATTATTAACGAATTTTCATACTATAATTCATCACAACTATTTTAACCAAAATTTTCCTTATTTATCTCTTCAATTTCGTCTTTTTTTTAGTTTTTCTTCAACAATTTGATTCTATTTTTGCATGATAAATATTCGAATAACTTTCTAGAAATCGAGTTTTTCTGTCATGGCGATCTCAGAATCGCCGGAAATTATCGGTGCGACGGCGATGACGACTGCGATGGCGGCGGACTATGGCGATTCTGTTCGTCGGCGAGCTAGTGCAGCTGGTGGTGCGACTGTTAGAGCTTCTACTTCTTCTTCAATGGCGGAAGAATCGGAGGATTTGAAGAAGGTCTCTAATGGCGAAGCTGGTGACAGAATTGTTGATGGCGCTGATAATAATGATAGTGAACGGAATAATTCTGATAATGTTAATGGTGAAGGTGAAGCTAAGGTTGTTAATGGCGGTGGAGCTCAGGATTTTGAAACCGCGATTCGGTACTCGTATCGTCCGTCTTCTCCTGCTCATCGGAAGATTAAGGAGAGTCCTCTTAGCTCCGACGCCATTTTCAGACAGGTTTGCTTTTTTTTTTTTTGGTTTGTAATTCATAAATGTTGCTATATTTGTTTTAATTTTATTTGTTGATATAGCTTATAACGAAGTACATTTTTTGCATACATTTATTGTGAAATTAGTGTTTACAATTTTATGTTGTGAAATGTTTGTGAACAAATATAGTTGAGTTGGATTGCAAATTGCCATTATTGTGAAATGAATGTAAATATCTTCGATGTTTATGTTAGACGTTTTGAAGTTTTAATTATGGACCTTGACTTGAGTTGTAATGTTATATTCACAGTTTGGTTAATTTAATGTTAAATTCGCGGTGAGGAGGTACTTAAGCATACATTTTGATTTCTGCTGATTGCTTTCGGTAATGGTTGGTGCCAATGTCATCTACTTAGTTGACAAAGCTTAAAGTTTCAGATAACTAATTATTTGAGAAGGCTGGCTGTTGTTGAAGAGTTTAGTGAACCTGGTGTAAAGTGTAAATGTACTTTGTACCTTGTTTAAGAAGCTAACCAGTTTGAATCAGCAATATTAAATGCTGGATTAGAATTGTGAAAGGGAAAGAATAGTAGTTGGAAAAAGGTATTGGGGGGAGATTGTGACGGGACGACTAAGCTGTGAAGGATAAAGGAATTTCCTTGTGAACATGTTGATGGGTTTTAAAATCGTTTTAAACTAATTTAGAGTGTGTTTTTTGCGTATACGAAAAATTAGTCTTTCATATTTGGTTCCTAATGTAAGAAAATAGAAACTTAGTTGTTAAGGTTGCACCCAAAAAAAAAAAAAAAAAAAAACAAAAACTTAGGTGTTAAGGTTGTGTAGTTTGACTGATTTCTAGGTGTTATACACGAGATAATGAGATGATTAACTATCAGATTTTTGTAAAGATCGTTCAATGGATATTATCCTCTATTAACTTTGATGTTGACCCGCATGAGAGGTGTTATGATGTATTCAATTTGTATGAGGAAGGCTTGCCTTTTCCCCGGGTTGATAGCACAAAGATAATTTCATAATTTGTTGAGAAGATATGCATGACAAAGAGGCCACTGTAGCTTGCTCTTTAAATTACACCTCTTTTTATATTGTAGTGCTGGAAAGAAAACCATGGTTAGACCCCTACTCCCCTAGCATAGGTCTATTGTTACTCATATTTATGATAATAGAATGTAACTTCAGACAAATAGAATAAAATTATATGAGAAAAGAAGGGTGATTGTATTCATGATTGTCCATAAAGTCAGCTGCCCATTATCTTTTGCCTGCCGTGAGAAACAGAGGAAACCATTGAAGGTCCATTCTATAATCATCCATGACTTTCTAATTTTCTAGACATGCCAATTTCGAAAGATATGTATAATCACCTGACATACAAATTATCTCCCTCAATTAATTTTTTTTTTTTTGAAAATTGGCTGCGTTGTAACTTCCCCATGACTACTAGCGTCTCCTTAATGTAATATTATCTGATGATATTCAGCTTGCACACTTGTAAGAGTAAGCTGAGCCCCCTTAATTTTGGAAATTTTATCTGGCAGTTTTGGAGGTAGATACTATTCACTGGGACTGCAGTCTGTCTGATTATGTTCCTCAATTATTTAAGAAATACGGCAGTTGGATCACTATATACTTTATTTCCCCTGTAATGAACCTCAACTTTTTATATTTTTTCTTTGATGATGTACACATCTTCTAGATCAAGTCAATGATATCATTCATTTACTCTTCTGAAGAAAAAAGAAGACCTATGACCTTGACAGTGAAATATAGGCATACATGAAGATTGAGGTTTCATTAATACTGTTCAGTACAGAACACAGTCCAACAAATTTGGTGGCCAATATTTTCAGCATAATGATTCAGAAAGGAAATAATTGATTGTGAAGTATGTGATCTTAGTATACATGACCTCTTTCTTTCCTGATTTATTAACAGATCAAGGTTTTGCTTGCCCAATGTTTTTCTTTCTTTTTATTGGACCAAGATTCCTTTTGTGACCAATGGTATCTTTAGAGAGATTGGTCCAGAAACTCCAGTTTTGGTGAATAGATGGTGTATAAGATTGTCTATTCCAGAAATCTGTGTTTGTATTAGGTTACCTTTTCCTGAAAGCATACATCTGTTCTGCATCTGCAGCTTCCCTAATATACCAAGAAACTATGCATATGGTAGGTCATAGGCAGGTTCATATCATTTTGTGCAAATGCAATTTAGAGGTTGTTTTTTTTACAAACCTTCCCAGTAGGCATTTCCAATTTTAATGTAGTAACATTTGATGTTGAAATTGGACCAAATGGAATCATCTGGTTCATGGATATGGTAGAGGGAAAGAAGATCAATGTAGTCTAAAACCACCTGTAATTGCCAGTCAATTGGTTTTCCCTTTGGTTACCCGATACTAACCATCATCAGTATGTATAAAATATGGATACTACTCTGTCAATAATAGAAGCACATGTTATTTGGAAATGGACAATGTGCTGGATATTGAGTCAACCTGCTCATTTTAATGCATGTGCAAAGAACTCTATTTGATTTGTTTGTTTTGATCTGAAAGATGATCCATGAAATTAAGGAAAAGAAAAGGGGCCCTTTTTAGTCTTTCCCTCCAATTTGGATTGCGTGGTTGATCTAAACCAAGTGTTCTGCTCATTTATCCTTCTTGCTTACGGTCTTCTGTAGTCTTGCCTTAATCTACAATCTTGGCCCAGTTATATTTAACATTAGTATGGCTTGGAAAATTTTATGCACTTGAAGAGAGTGTTAAATATTATTAGATAAAGTTCCTTGCTCAGTTGTTGAGAATTATTTGGTTTATCAAGTTGTATTGGGCTAAAGGATATACAATTTTCGTCAATCTTAGACTAAGACTAAAATAGTGTAAGGTTGCACTCTTCTATCCTCCCTACACCATATCCTGACCCAAAACCTCAACAAATTACTGGTTTAGTAACGGCCTGACTGATATTGGTTTTTCTTAGTTGACAAGATTGCTTTCATATCAAGAGCCGCAATTTTTCCGTGTTGCATGGCTGTCTATAACTGAGTTTGTTGCCCGAAGTAAAATATAGGCGTTAGATTTTGATAAAGTTTTCAATTTGCTCATGGACAACTATCGCTGGATTGATTAAATTATTAAATGTTAGAGATTGAGGGCCCTTGGGTTAGGTTATATTGGGCAACATTTTCTTGCAACTATCTATGCTAAGCAACGTCTTCTTGGTATCGTCCTTTTTTGTTGTGTTATCTTTATTATTAATCAAATTATCTGCTGCAGAGTCACGCTGGTCTCTTCAATCTTTGTGTAGTAGTACTTGTTGCTGTGAACAGCCGTCTTATAATAGAAAACCTCATGAAGGTTAGTACCATCTAATTTCATTTGTTTTTGTTTATCATTTTTGTTGAATAGCCAGGCTTAATTTCAGCTCTGCGGGTTAAATTGATGTTTTGCTAACATGAAAATGTTTGCAGTATGGATTGCTGATACGAGCTGGTTTCTGGTTCAGCTCAAAGTCCTTTAGGGATTGGCCTATATTTATGTGCTGGTAATTATCGTTTAGTATGAATACCTTTTACTGACAAGTCATCTGTTGTATGCATGGATGATCCTGAATTTTCTTATGCACTTTTGCGTATTTTTATTTTGCAGTCTTTCACTCCCAATTTTTCCATTCACTGCTTTCTTGGTAGAGAAGTTGTCACAAAGAAGGCGTATTTCTGATCCGGTAAGCTATCTTAATGCAATAAAACGTTATCCAGTTGCTGATTTGTGATTTGGGCCTCCTTTTGAAGTATTCCTCCATATTTCTTACCTTGTTCCTGGAAGCTGCTCTATGGATTTCGTCATTTTATTTTGCTAATATATTTGTAGTTATTTCTACTAGATGATATGAATGCTCTTGTGTTCTACCTTTCTATTAGCTGATCTCGTCTCAAACTTTGTAAAATATTTATGTATTAATAATCTGATTGATTGGTGTAGGTTGTTGTCCTGCTTCATATACTGATTTCCACAATTACCATCTTATATCCAGTTTTTGTAATACTCAGGTTGGTTCCCTGACACCTTTATGTATCATCCACTCTGTCCCAATGAACGTGTTCACTTATCATGTTACATAGACTCAGGGAAAAAGTTGGGGGCTTGGTATTAAATATTATTGTAATAAAAAGTATATTTGATGTGATATAGTGGGGTATTTAATTTCTTGAATGAAGGAGAGGGTGAGACCCCCTAGTTTTAAGTAGTAATAATTGATAAGAGAGAGCCTAAAGCACCATTTCCAAATATAGGAAAGTGAGCAAACTAAGTTCAGATGGATAGAGTATATACATGTTTCGCATCATATCAATCTTGTCAGACTTTTTTTGTTTTTTTTTTTAAAAAAAAAAAAAAAGAACTCGCTATAACATATGCTCACTGGAGTCACTGGCAAAGCGCAAAACGATGAATATATATATTTCCTATCTTTGTAGTCAGTTATGATAATTATGAGTGGCATGCAGGTTACATGCAATGCTGTTCTCAACTATCATTTTACCTGTTGTTTCGTGTGTGGCTCATCTACTAGTCCACTATATCTATTGCTTGCTCTATGCATTCCTCAGATCCATTCCACAAAATGGTTCAAATTAACTTATCAATGATCATAACACCTATTATCTTTGCAGATGTGATTCTGCTGTTCTTTCTGGTGTCATTTTGATGCTTTTTGCTTGCACCATGTGGTTAAAGTTGGTATCATATGCACATACAAACTATGATATGAGAGCGATTGCCAAAGCATCTATTAAGGTAATTGAAATGGTTTCATATTTTATCATCTTTTATTGCTCAATTTTCTCTTCCTTATGGTGTAACTCTGAAGTAACATTCTGCAACAGCTTTACTTCTACCATTGCTGCTTTACAACCTTATAAAAGAGTTCCTAGCTCAACTTCTAGCATAGATTCATAGCTTACTTTGTAATTTAAATAAATGATTATATATCCTTTGTATCTTAAGCTGTTGGGGGACTTACAATTCCCATAGATAGCTTATTTAATTCCTGCTTTTCAAGACGATTTATCTTCTAAAATAATTTTATCTTGTTGTGATTTACTCTAGTATTTATGCTTTCCCTTATTGATTTTTAGTTTGGTTTCAGGAGGATGAACTACTAATGGAACTCCCATATGATGTAAGCATCGAAAGTCTGGTGTACTTCATGGTCGCTCCAACACTATGTTACCAGGTACTTAGAAATTTAGCCCACTTTGATATTAGATCATGCTAGTGGTTTCTAATGCTTTCCTCTTTCCACCTCTGCTGGAATTTTTGTACATCTATATATGGAAGATTTCATCCATCTTTTGCTTCTTAACCTTTCCATGGTCATCACTTTGAGTGCTTTTGTAACTTCTCTGTGTAGTGAAGCATTATTTAAGTGAAGTGGTAATTGTGAGCAGGAAGGCAGTTGACTATGGACTGTCATTTTGAAGTGAATAAGTGTGACTTGCTTATACTTTCCTATTAAAGTTGTCATATGCGATTTTCTTCAAATCAGTTGTTCAATGAGAAAATGCTTTTTTCCACCTTCATTCTCTATGTGCATTATCAATGAAGTAAATTATTGGTCTTTGACTTTTAAATTAGTGGATAATTAAAAAGTCTTGCTGAATTTTGGGCTGCTTCTAAACAATGAAGCAGCAGATTATGGGTGTTGCACTGATGACTATGGTCATTCGGAAACAGCTCCTCTGTTTTTGCAGGGGTTATGTATACATGTTACCTCCATTTCCCCTCTTGAGGTGGGATCAATTTTGAAAGCACTGGGGAGTTTTGTTGCTGACGTTAAATTTTGGGGAATCAATTTTCCATCTCTATAAAGTTCGGCTGGGAAAGCTGATAATGCTTATCGAGCCATATTTCGGATAGGTGATTTTTACGGGAGATACAATTGATACATACTTTATCGCAATTTTGATGTTCCAAGTTCGATCAGTTATCAGATTTCTTCACATGAAAAGTTATCCAAGTATTACTATGAAAGTATGAATAATTATGGTATTCTGTGAACTATGAGTCCATGCTTTTGAAACTGTCTTTAATTGTAGATAGTAGATTGCGTGTGATGATATTTCATCAGTCTGTAAAAGTGCAACTTGACTGCTTATTAATGCCTAAAGTTTGTATGTTGTGCATATTCTATGCTGTTAACCTATTCCAATATTGCCCACTTCCATTCATTAGTTTTTAGTTGCTTTTAAATTGTTTTCATGAATTAAGGGTACCAATGGGAGCTCGCATATCACACATATAAATTTTTTTCAGTGTGTATATGGAGTGTGTTCACTTAACCATCAAAAAATTTGCTTGATGTGTTATGGACTCTGTTCTATTTTGCAGACAAGCTATCCTAGGACCGCATGCATTCGCAAAGGATGGGTGGCTCGACAAGTATTAAAATTGGTGATATTTACTGGAGTAATGGGGTTCATCGTTGAACAAGTCTGTTCCTTTTATCTATTAATTTCATCTTTTTCCCCTGCTTTCCTATCTCAAACGTTATCTTGACAATTTTTTTTCTTTTTCTTGTTGCTTTTTTTTTTTTGTAGTATATCAATCCAATTGTACAAAATTCACAGCATCCTCTGAAAGCAAACCTATTGTATGCAATTGAAAGGATTTTGAAGCTGTCAGTGCCAAATTTATACGTGTGGCTGTGCATGTTCTATTGCTTTTTCCACCTCTGGTGAGTTGATTGCTACATCTCAATCTGTTTACATGTTCTCCAAGTTATTTTCTATTTATCTGCTGGAATTCTCCTCTCCCCCCCCCCTCCCAAATGCTCTCTCTCTCTCTCTCTCTCTCTGGAATTGACTTGATTACCATACATTAGAATGTCAATTATGAATAAAACCTGTTCCCTCTTTGATGATATAGTCAGCCATTTTTCTCAAAAGAAACCTTGTTTGATCAAATTTCTTGTAGCTGAACTCGTACAAATATCTTGACATCATGTACTATTGGATTGGGCTTCTGTTGCAAAGTATGTTGTAATATTTGAGGCTCTTGTCACCGTCACCGAGTCACAGAAAAGGTTGTGCTACTTTGTTGTGTGGTGTTGTGTCAAGGGTTGTAATTAAAACAGCATGAGTTTTATATCACCAGTATAAGTCACATCATCTTTTACTTCCCCGTGTTGCTCTTTTATCAGCCTTATAATTTCTGCATCAGTTTGGTTGATTAGAAAACAGGAACTTAGGGCTTGTTCGTGTTTTTTTTAAACAAAAACTAAAAACAGGAAACTAGAAAAAGTCTTCTACTTTTCTGTTGTCAATTTTCAAAATTGTTATGATTTTGATAAGTTCTACCAATTTTTTTTATTCATTATATGATATATGTCATATAAAACTTAAAAAAAAAAAAAAAAGGAAACTACAGCGATAACGAACGGATCCTTAGTATCTGATACTGTAAATCATGTTTCAATAGCTATTCGTCTGCCTGTTCATTTTCACTCATTGGTGTGAATTAAGTCGTTTGGTAGATACATCAAGCATTTATGTGAAGTTAGCTTCTCTGTATAGGTTTATTCTGCGCTCCTTGGGTGTGTGAAGTTTGAACTCCATGATATCTTTGTAATTTTCTCTTTATTGTTCTTTCCAGATCTGATGAAATGAGATGTATTAAGACGGAATTTTGTAAATGCTTTGAACTTAATTATGAATATTTTAACCATTTCTTAATATTTTGATCGCCTGGAAGGGGCAAAAGAAAAATATTGTTATTTCAACAATCTCTGAAGCAATAGATGGTGCTGCCATGAAATGATTAATATAGACTACTTTGGAATGGCCTATACGTCCCATGTCCTGTATCAACTAAACACTGAGTTTCCAGCAAGTCACTATTTATTATGATCTTATAAAGGATGGCTAGTCCAATTTGCAATTGGAAAAATTAAGAATATTTTTTGTGGCTGATCAGTGCTTTTTCCTTGATGATAACCATTTACTATTTCTTGAAGCTCGATCTCTCCGCCAGATGAACCATATTACCAAGAGAACCCATGAACCAGAATAGAAGAGCTTGCCCCACCCATGAGTCATTTGAACTTGTTGATAATGGATTTGACTATGTATAACTGCTTTCCAATGGAATGAAATAGGACATTGTGTGCTAGAGCTGCTTTCTTTAAGAAAAAGAAGATCTATGTTAATTAGATCCTTCATTTCACCTCAGTTGCCAATTAATTACATGAAACACCAAATTCTGCCACTTGGACACATAGTATAAATTATTTATTGTATACCTTGGCCACAATTAAAATTATCTAGATACTTGCCATTTTACCATATTACTATATGTTTTTTAATACATGGATGCCTTTCATTTTCAGGTTAAACATATTGGCTGAGCTTCTTAAATTTGGTGACCGTGAGTTTTACAAGGATTGGTGGAATGCAAGAACATTCGAAGAGGTAGACTTCATTTTTATGAGATAAAACTTTGAGCTCTTACATGTCAATAGTGTATACATTGTTGCTGATGATTTTGTCCCCCTTGTTTCTGCTCTATTTGCTCGTGAAATGGATGACTTCCATCAGTATTGGAGGATGTGGAATATGGTATGTTTCCTGTAAACTCATGCCTGTTTTATTCTCAGTTATAGGCATTAGTGGCTAAGTCATTTTCCTTGATGTGTATAAAATTCAATGTAGCTAGGTTATGATCATATATTTGGTTGTCTAGGAAGAGTCAATTTGGGAAGATTGAGTTCAGTATTGTAGATTGTAGAAGAAACAACGTAACGATAAATGTAGAGGAAAATGATTATAACTTCTGATAAAAGAAGTAATCTTTATTCATTGACATTATCTCACCACCCGTAGTATTTGGGTTTCAATATTTTCTACACCTAACTACCTCTTCTAATTTTTTTATTTTTTTTTATTTTTTTTTGGGAAAAATTGATGTTAAGGGGAGATTGATTTGGATTTTGCATAATCTTATGACTTGATTTTGGCTAATACTTAATTTCAAGGAAGAGTGATCCTCACCTGGCAACGAGCAAAAGCAATCCAAATATATACTTTATACTTGTATATTTTAGTTGCCATGTTTATATTTTTCTTCCTTTCTTTTGACACGTGTCTTTTATTACATTTTCCGATACACAAATTCAACCATTATATTTTTAATTATCATTTAAAGTTGATGATTTGAAAATACACATTAAGACAAATCTATCAAAATCCCTTATGGCTATGATTTTTCTTATCCATCGATCACAAAAGTTAGTCAAAGTAGAATTTGTGAATAGTGTCTAAACTTTTTTTTTAATGTGAGTTAGAGAATTAGATGGTAGTGCTTAAATGGGAGTAACTATAAGGTTTTGGTTGAGAAAGTGGTTAAAGTAGTTGATTTGCCTTAGAGTAAGCTTAGACCCTAACTTTAATTGGTTTTGGTTTAACTAAATGAAAAGAAGAGAAAGGAAGGAAAGGGAAAAGGAAAAAAAGGGAAAAGAAAGGAAAAGGAAGGTGTTATTTTTTTCCAATTTTTGGTTAGTAAAAGGAAATGAAGGGGAAAGAGTTAAAATTTATAGTTTGTAACTTTATTTTTTCACTTTCGAATTCCTCCAAATTTGGGAGGAAAGGAAAGCTAAAAATTTGTAAAGGAACTTTCCTCCTACTTCCCTTTATTCTACGAAATATGGGAACATGATTAGAATCCTTTTCTTTCTTTTCATTTCCATCCAAATCCCTTCATCCAAAAAAGGTCTAAAGGATGAAAACTCCTAAGCACAAGGACACTACATGATGTGGATGTGATATCTGCAATTAAGAAAAAAGTTATTCTACTTGGCTTAGCAAAATTTAAAGATGAAAAACCACCCTTGGCGTGCCGCATGTCGTGCTTGGCCGTGCCATGTGTCGTGCTGGCGGGCCAAAGTACCGTGCCGCCCTCAGCCGTGCCCGTGCCGAATTTTCGAAATTGCGTTCGCATTACGGCCCACTTCTCGGTCATCGTGCCGTGCAGGCCGACCCCGCCCATGCCCATCTCTAGTTAGAACTCAATGCCTATTCAATTAATTCTTAGACTTATTTCGCGAATCGGACCAAATTAGGCTATGAAGATTTTTTCGTCATCGGGCTTTGGTCGGGGAGACATTTTTAAGTGTCTACACTTACCTTAGTGACTAAGTGGTCATTTATTATGCATTTCTATATGAATAAATGGCCATTTCCTGTTCCGGTTGTACACTTTGGTGACCCAACCCGTGACCCTAACATGACCCATAAAGGACCCAAAACCCGAAATTTACTCGACCCGAAAGTGTAGCTGACCCGATACCCTAAATGACCCAACTCGAAGTTTACCTGATATGATTTTAACTCGAATTGCTTGACTCGAACGGTCCTGATACTTGAAATGTCCCACTAATATTATCTTATACTCCCTCCGTTTTTAAATACTTGCTTCACTTTTCTTTTTCGTCCGTTTTTAAATACTTGCTCCATTTCCTTATTTGGAAAGTTTTTACAATATTTAACTAATTTCTCTCACCTAGTGGACCCATCACATATTTTCTCTTCTCCAATCCTCTCCACTACTTTTGCTTTTTATAATTTTTTATTCTTCCACTTATCCCACTACCTCTATTTATTATTATTTTCTCCAATTTCTCCTAAAACTCCGCGCATGGAGAAATGGAGCAAGTATTTAAAAACGGAGGGTGTACCTAACTAAAAATGCCTAGTGCAAAACATGACTCAAATTGTTTCATCCCCAACCGTAATTGAACTCACAAACTGAATTGACAATGCTTATTAAGTTATTATAAAAATAACAAAATAAAAAATTTATCGATTCCAGCTTGATCCATAATATGGACACAAAATAGAACAACCCGAACATGACTCGAAACCTGTATTGACCCGACCTGAACCAATTTGAATGTTAGCTGATTTGAACATGACCCGACTCAAAATTGACCCGACATATACCCGACCTAAATGACCCTTTTGCCAAGTCTACTACTGACTAGGGAATCTTTTTTTGTGGACCTTGTGGGAATTTTTAAGATCCTTTATAATTCAGTATAACAGATATTAAGTTAATATAAAAGGGAAGTTTGACTACTGTGACAAACTGTCAATCATATACTACTTATTGGTGTTGTTATCATTTGCAGTTCTCAAAATCTTTAAATCAATGAGTTTGGACTTTGTAGTACTCTAAAGTCTATAATAACTAAGATCCAACCATGGAAGTAGTGTTAAATGTACTTTGTAACTGCAATGTTTGTTTTTGTATGTATTAACTGATTTTTTATATATTTTTTTTTCTTCTCTCTTCTCACTAAATTATATCTTCCCTCCGCAGCCTGTACATAAATGGATGGTTCGCCATGTTTATTTTCCCTGCTTGCGCAATGGAATACCCAAGGTATTGCCACTTATCTTTATAAATAAATAAATATTTTTCTGGTTAGTGTTCGGCCTAATGTTGCCCCTTTACTATATTTGGCATACTGCTGAAACTTGATATATTCAGGGGCGGAGCCAGGGGGGGCTGGCGGGGGCCTTGGCCTCCCCCTTGGCTCAAAATATTAATTAAATTTGCTCTTCATTGTCATTAATTTTGGTGTAGAGGAGTTGGTTTTTTCCATGTGATAGTATGCAAGTTGTCAAGGGATCAAATCTTGTAGTTAACAAAATTTGTGTTTTTTTTTTAAGTAAATGTAATACGTATAATCTTGGCCCCCCCCACTTAGAAATTCTAGCTTCGCCACTGGATATATTGCAAGTCTTTTTACTATACACCAGGATGGCTTTGAGATGGCCTCCTTGTGTCCCTTTATTCTGTCATCCACAGTTAATTGATTGGTAGACAATGAGTCTTCTCTGAAAGATAACTTGTTGGAAGGCAAAATAAAATGTCTTGCATATACAATCTCAGTAGAGATTCTTAGGATTGCAATTAAAAATCTTCAACACACCTTGTAATTTATCATTACAAGCGTACTTAGTTAATTTTTATGAATGACAAATATTGTCAATCAAGTGGCAAAATTGTAAATAAGTGCAGTTTTTTACTGTGCATGGGCATAACCGCTACTTTATCGGTTAAGCCCTAAAACCGCTACAGTAGCGGCTTTGCCCATGAACAGTTAAAAAGTGCTTTTTTATACAATATTGCCACTAGATTGACAAATTTTGTCAATCATTAAGATTAACTTGTAATTTCTCTTTATCATTATGCTGATTTTAACAATTAATCTTTTCGTTCAGGGTGTTGCAGTATTGATTGCCTTCCTTATATCTGCCATATTTCATGAGGTATCTCAGAAAATCTCTCTTTAGAGCTCTCTTGCACTAATAATTTAAATTTTTTTTTTAATACTATTGTCTAAAACCCTTATGATTTATTTTTTTTTCATTATTGGCATGCTCTTTTTGCAATAACAACTTTGCTTATTAGTTTCTTCTAGATCTTCATCTTCAGAAAATAATAGGCTGATTCCTGTATAAAGAAAACATTATTTGATATTTTGATTGATCAAAACTCAAAAGAGGTATCTACCTTTGTAACATCTAGGTGGACCTGAGCTTTCAGTCTGTCCAGGAAGTTGTATCCCTGTTGAAGTTATCCAATCTTAGATATAGCTACAAAACTTGTATTTGATGAAGTTTCTGGTTGTAATTCTGCTTATTGTGATTGCAAAGCAAGAATTGACTCTGAGCAAAATGTTGAAAGGTCAGGGTCAGTCGGAAAAGTTTCCATACGAATATCAGCTTTATATGGCCTGCAAGTCTGTCAGATCTACTGAATTTAATTTTTTTTTTTTCCTAGTGCTGGAATCTGATTAAATGATAGGCAATCATATTAAATATCAGTATATGATTTGTGCTCATTATCTAGTAGGATAAGATAGGATACGATATGTCATTGGCTTTCTGCATATTGAGGTGGTTTTCTGTATGTGTATAATTAGATCGGTATTTGGAAATGTCATGATGGGCATTTGTTGAAACATTGAGTTGCAACAAACTAGTCATCCAATGTCAGATTCTATAAATTTGGGTTGTCCTGCCAAATCTTTTGCCTTCTTTGATGCAATTGAATAGACATATACCTGGTATTTAGGGTGCTAGCCTACTGGATTATATTTTATGTGAAATTTGAACTTTGAAAATTTTTGTTCATGATATTACGAAGTAATATTTTGTTTTTCTGTGTGATTTCTGAGCTGCTGTTATTTCAGTTTAACTGATTGGCTGTTTAATGGATGTGTTTATATATTGGTGATTTATGTTGACCTTATTTGGGGTGTGCTTAAATCTATTTTGTTTCACAGCTATGCATTGCCGTTCCTTGCCAAATGTTCAAACTTTGGGCTTTTCTTGGTATTATGTTTCAGGTAAATTGGGCTGCCAAAGCCGTATTGCACTGTCCTCTCTGACATTCCTTTTCTTTGGAGGACTATTTTTTAGCTCCTTGCCTCGTATACTTAGTGAAAATATATGTATTTTGTTTGCTGATAGTGCTCATGTTGTTTTCTAAATCAGGTTCCCTTGGTTTTACTTACAAATTTTCTGCAGAGGAAATTCCAGAGTTCAATGGTATGTATCACTTCTCTAGTTTTTTTCTGGGAGTTAAAACTTTGGAAACGCTTTTAATCCAAATCACAAATAAAAAGATTGTCTTAAAAGAAACGAAAGAATAGATAAGATGAGTTCTCTTTTTTTTTTTTTGCTTTACCCCTGGAGGGAGGAGGGGGGGTGGGGGTTGGGTGAGGGAGGGGGAGGGGGTTTAACGTTTTATGAGTGATCTATGTAGTGTTTTTTATTTTTAGTCCCCATTTGGTTTGATGTAAAATATTTTCAATGGAAAATTAGTTTTCAAGGAAAAGCACAATTGGAAAATAGAAATTAGTTTATTTTGTTTGGTTGCATACAAGAAAAGTTCAAGAAGAAAAAAAATTAAGAGTGGGAATGTGAGGATGGATGAGAAAGAAGTAAAAAGGAGGTAAGGAGGAGGGAGGAAAATGTGGCTTCCCTTGTTTTGTAGAGGAAAATGTTTTCCATCATCAAGGATGCAATTTTCCACCACTTCACAAACCAAAGGAAAAGGGGAAAAAAATGGGAAAATCATTTTCCATGAAAATATTTTTCGTGGAACCAAACGGGTCCTTAGTGAACCTCTTATAGCTGGTAGCTGCACTTGCCTATATCATTTTCATATTCGTTACCCCACTTTCTCAATTAAGTTTGCTATTCAAATTGACATTTTTTTCATCATATGTACAGGATAATTTCTTCAGTGTGTACTATTGTATATTAATTCTACCTTAATTTATGTCTATATCAGGTTGGAAACATGATCTTCTGGTTCATCTTCAGCATATTTGGCCAACCTATGTGCGTTCTCCTTTATTACCATGATCTAATGAATCGCATTGGCAAATCATCATGAAAAACTTGAGAAAAGGCAAATTAACTGCATAAAAGCGATAGAGTTTATGCTACAATGAAGAGATCAGCTGTCGTTCCATTTCAAGATGCCATGTAAATGTTGGCCGTTGCTATTTCCTCATGCCAAGTGAGTCATTACATGACTTCATTATGTGTGAGCAATTTTGACTTGGAAATTACATGCACACCTTTCTAATACGGTAGTGTAGATGAATTATTGAATTAGGAGCAGAAACTTTCTGGAAAAAGCTGTACATGTGTGTTTTTGTTTCTGTATCCTTTTGAGTTTTTGAGCAACATGTTGCTCAAATCTAAAATCTCATCTGAAGATATCATGTAAGATTCTGGGTAGCTTCCAGTTATCTTGGGTGCTCACAAGAAATAAAGTTAAAATATATTCAAGCAAAATTATTTTGTCTGTAATGATTGTGGTCTCCTATGTGGTGTAGTCGAAGCTAGGAGCCGAGGTATGTGTTTGCTTCTCTACTTATCGTTAAGTTGATAAAGAAATTTCAGTAATAATTGTTCCCCGCCTGAGCAATCTTGGTTTTAGTATATTTTATCTAAGTCTCTGCCTTCAGATTTGGAACGGTTTCATCTTGTTTAGTAGATGAGTTGTTGCTTTATTCCGAAGGTAAAGTTAGTTTAGTTTGATGGTTGATAAGTAAGTTTTCTGTTTTCTAGTAGAACCTGAAGCAAAGTATCAAACACGAGTAAGTTGCAAATCTAGATGTCAAGTTAATTTTGGAGGTAACTAGCTTTGATATTGGCAGTTTTCCCTTCTTCCATTATGTTGAGGTCCCTTCATATTTGGAAGTTGATTGAAGTACCGACATCGGTACATCAAATCTACTACGAAGTGCTATTCTATAGTAGTTATGTGGTTCTCCTTGCATTGCATGTGGCTTTCAATTTCTGTAAAAACCGTAAGAGTACAATGAAGTTGAAAAGTTTTTGTCTAGATTGTCAGTCTTGTGGATGGTACTGGAGTGAGTGTGGGATTGACAGTGACAGAGATATGAAGTATGAACATCATATGCTAAGATTCTTAGAGGTGCAAGATCATGCACACACATAAAAAGAAATTTAGTAATTAGCAAAAAATTGTACTGTATTATCCTTGAGTTATGTTGGGATTTCTTAGCTTGAAAATACTCCTAATTACTACCCGTTTTCTCTTAAGTGCCTATAACAATAATTTCGACTAAACATTTGTGCTTGTCTGGTTTCAAGTATAATATAGGGAAGAGCAAGACTTGAATAGTCGAATACGTGTTATGTTTGGTTGGCATGAAATTGATAAAATTGAGGGAAGAGCAAATAGCTTTTAGTTTATTATCCAAGTGGACTACTCCTTAAAAGTGTCTTTTGATTTTAAGATGAAACCTTACTTTGAATTATGGTAGTAGCCCTAGTAGGCATTTGGCTTCTCTCCATTGTTTACCCCATCAGTTATGAGGTTGCCCTAGTTAAAACTAAGTAGTAGTTTTGAGCAAAATTGGTTTAAGGCAAAATCGCAGTTTTGCCTATTTTCACCGCAAAAATTTTACTTTTGTCTCTGTGATAAACAAAACTTTGTTTAAAACAGAGATAAACTTGTATGTTCTCCATTAGTTGTAATACTTTTTTTTTTTTTTTCATTTTAAGCATCGTTGCTTCTCTTGTATCCTCTTATCATCACCACCCAAGCACTGCACCATTCACCACATGTCTATCACTCTTAACTCTCTTTCATTATATCAGCTTTAATTTCCTATTACCACTCTAATTTGCAACTTATAATGCTCTACTTTTCTGCCACTTTTCTCCATCTAAATGCAATCAATTTCACCCAAATGCCCCAAAAAAGGAGAAGAGAAAGAACCTTTATCACAGCATTGCATTAGCAACTTTATAGCAAAACTTTGCATTTCCCACAAATAATACTACCTCTGTTAACTTTTAGTTGCAACTTGCAATTTTGGGGTATTATTTCTGAGATATACAATATTCCAAAGTTACAACTAGTAAAAGTTAACGGAAGTAGTAACATCTAAAGAGATTGTACCCAAAGTCCCAAAAAATTTAGGAAAAATTCACATGATTGATCCCAACTATTAGTGATCCTTCAGCTTATTTTCAGTGGAGTTCAATTCAATTCCTAATTTCTTTCCCTCTTAAAATATTCCGTTTAATTTAATTTAGTAAATCAAAACAGACCCATAAGCCCAAGTACGGGTTATTCTAGAAGAAAGATATTATTAATTCCAAAATTGGTGATTATTGTATGGTCAATCTCTTTTCTTATTTTATTTATTTATTTATTTTTATTTTTATTTTTGAGGGTTTTTAATTAAAAGATAAAAAGTGCCAAATTGAGCTTTGACTTTCAAATAAAACGAAAGACTATTATCTTAACATGGCTGCCCTAGCCAAACTCATATCCACCGTTAGATTAGCCGTCGACCCCATCTCCTCCCCTTCTCCATTCATCTCTGCACCCCATTATTGAACAAATTAATTCACCTTTTCCCACTCTTTTCTTTATTTAATTAAATTATTCTAAACCCCCAAAATTTAATTCACACTACAAACTCCAATGCTCCGAAACCCCGCAACAAATTGCTGAAACACAGAGAAAAGTAGAAAATAATTAAAAACTCCCCCCTAAATTAAAGTTATCAAAATCCAAATAAAAACACACTTTTTCATTAGATTTTCCAAGAAGAATCCAAGGTACAAATACATCAAAACCCTCAAATTTCTTCCATTTTTTTTCCCTTTTCTTTCTTCCCAATTCCAACAAATCTCAAAAAAAAAGTGGGAAAATTTCCAGAAACTTTGGACAAAAAAAGATGGGTGAATATTATAGATCCAAGTCATATGCAGATGGAAGAATGGAAATAGAGGTATATTATGGTGAAAATAATGAAAAACCCACAAACAATACATCAACAATTTCATCAAATAATAATGGTGATAATACTTATAATAATGGTGGATTACATGAAATGAGGTGTTACAGTGCATCTTATGTAACAACATCACAGCAACAGCAGCAGCAGATTCCAAAGGAGTTGAAGAAGGGTAAAAGTGTAAATGCATCATCAAAAGCTGGTTGGTGTTTTAGTGACCCAGAAATGGCAAGGAAGAAAAGGGTTGCTAGTTATAAAGCTTATAGTGTTGAAGGTAAAATTAAGAAGTCTTTTTCTAAGAGTTTTAGATGGATTAAAGATAGGTACTCTAATATGCTTCAGGGTTGGTAATTTCTACCCCTTTTTTTATGATTAATTACTATTTTTAGTATTTTTATTATTTATTCTCTGAAAAAAGAGTTGGAAAAAATATTAAATTGTGTAATTTTGTTTAGTGTTGAGCTTGTTTGTATCTTTTGGAAGTGATGTAGATTACAGTATTTGCTAATTTATGAGATGATCATCTTTAAGATTTAAGGCTTTAAGCTCTAAATGATCATTTCTTTAATCCTTTCTTGTTTTATATATATATATGAAGTACATTTTAATTTATTGATATGGGTTTTGTTTTTTGTGGAGAAATAGGAGTAAGATCTGGTTATTGTGGTGGATCTTTGTTTTGTCTGCTGCTGAATGAGATTCAGGAGTTGTTTTTTTTTCCTTTTGTTTTGCTTGTTTTTGGCTTCAATTGCCAAATTAAGTGAATGAAATTCATTTTGTTTATGTTTATGTAATATGAATCTTTAAGTAATATCAAATTTATGTGTGCCTACTTTCCATTGATCTTGGTATGGTTTCTTTCTTAAAAAAAAAGGAAACTATGATTTGAGGATATTTGGCAGTAATTGTTCATTTGTTTTATTGTACAATGTTCCTAGTTTAGTTCAAGTACCCGTGTCTAGCACTCGACACTAGTATGACATGTTAAGACGTTAATTCACTTAAATTTAGGACAAAAACATCGACATCTTTGTCAATTTAGCAGAGTTCTAAACTCAGTCAATGACAGTGTTGTTGAATGCAGCCATGGTATGCAACCAAGTATAGACATTTTCATGGTGAATAAAGAGTAGATTACATTTGACTTTATCCTCCTATATTAGAAATTGTTTGTGATTTTGTTTGAAAGAGAAAGCACAATGTTGGCATAACTTAAACTCTTTATTCTTTACAATGTGTCCAATTTTTCTTGTGGATGCTATTCTTAGGAACAAATGAACAATGAATCCGATACTCAAAGTAATACCTTTTTGGTTCAATTTCGATGCTCTAGAAACCTAGAAACGATAAATCTTCTCTATTATGATGCTGTCTTGTGATTGAAGAACTTTTTTCGAGTTTACATATTGGGAAAGTGTCGCGTTCATGTTTGGTTTCATGTCGATTTTGGGCAATTCCCCGTTTCCTTGTTAATGTAGTTAAACCAATCTGTGAGTCGGATTGTGTTATTTGTGGTTGAGTTAGAGATAGCCAAAATCTAATTTGATTCGTTATTAATGACTTTCTAGTTCTACTGCCTTGAATGGTCTTACAAATGGTGCAAAGTTTAATTTCTCTACTTAAAAATATCATATTTTCATTAACAAAAGTCCGTTAATTAAAAAGATTAATGTGTTAGTCACATGTACCAAAGAATCATATGCTTTGTTATGCTTGCAAATTGCAAGGGGGTTATATGCTAATAAAACATCTAGTGGATTGCTATAATGGTGGTGTTGACAAATTGTTTGATTATTAGAGCACCCGTTTTGTTTAATACTTAATGTATACAAAGTATGTTTTATTTGTGTAGAGAGAGTCGCAAAAGAAAAATAATGTATGAGCCTTTATTCATAATCCTGAGCACCATTTTTAAAAGTTCTCCATAATCAAAACTAAAATTATATATTTTCCACCAAAACAGGTTCTATACTTAATTAAACATAATCTAAAAGGAAAGTTATATAGACCAACTTGACAATTTGTGATAGATTAGCTATATGATTACTTTTTTGAGAAATTTACGGTATGATCTAGGAATAATTTAACTAACTTTCAGTGGGAAAGCTTGATTAAAATATAGGAAAAATTGCCAGGAATAATCCGACCTTTGCCTCATCCGCCCAAAATAATCCCACCTTTCGATTATTTTTTAATAATCCGACTTTTATACTCAATATGCTCCTAATGGTCCCAAATGACTTGAAACCGGCTAAAGAGGTTACAATTTGTAACTTTGGATTGTTTGCACAGTGTCACCATGTGATTGGACCAAAGAGAAATAAAAAATTAATTAAAAAATATTGAAAAGTTAAACAAAAAAAAAACAACGGCCACCACCCCTCTGCGGCAGACCCCAACGAAACCACCTCCCCTACACAGCCCGACCACCGGAATCTCCTCCTCTACACAGCCCAACCACCGAAATCTCCTCTTCTACACAGCCTAAGCACCGAAATCTCCTCCTCTACCCATCCCAACCACCGAAACTGTCCCTGTTTGCGATTTGGGTGATGCGGTGTGTTTGCAATTTTGGGTGGTGCGTTTGGTGTTTGCGATTTTGGGGCTGATTGGGTGTTTGCGATTAAGGGGCTGATTTTGGGTGGTTCGTTTGGTGTTATCGATTTTGGGACTGATTGGGTGGTGCGTTTGCGAAGGAGTAACAGCAGGAGTATCGTTGCTGTTTTGGTGGTGTTGCAGGCTAGTGTTGGGATTGGTGTCGGCCGGAAACTGGGAGGGGAAGGAGAGGGGATTTGGTGGCCGGAAACAGGGAGGGGAAGGGATATGGTGGTCGGAATGGGTAGAGGGCGGTGGCTGAACTGCCAGAGGGTTTGTGGGTTTTTAATATTTTTTTTCTATTTTTTAAAGTTTTTTTTTAAAAAATTTTTAGACCAATTATAGGCCGACACGTGTCTAGCAACTTGTAATAACAGGTTGGATGACCGGTAGGGACCATTTAAAGCGGAAGAGGTATAAAGGTCGGATTATTAAAAAATAATCGAAAGGTGAGATTATTTTTGGCGGATGAGCTAAAGGTCGGATTATTCCGAGCAATTTTTCCTAAAATATATGCACAATGAAAAAGACTAGACAATCATAATTCAAAGCCACGACTTCAATGCTTTTATCTCGTTGATCTCATCTTTAAACACCACGATGACTATGGGTCAAACTACACCAACCAAACATCTTACAAGTACTAATTTTCTATTTTTTTAAAAACTTTTTTTGACTTTTTAATCTCATTTATCCATCTACACCAACACTTTTTATTATGATCGCCTTTTGCAATATTTCCTTGTATTACTATGACTTTTTTTATTATTATTTATTTTTATTATGGCAAAAGCTAATGAACGTCCCCGGGGCGTTATATAAGAGAATTAAAGTGAAAATATTAGAGTAAAATTAACATTAATTACAACGAATGACGCGTGATTTTGTCATGCATTCCTAACTTAATACCATTTCAACCAATATAATTACTCCTTATCTAACGCCCCGTGGCGCTCGTTAGCAAAATCATTTTATTATTAGTATTACTACCTCCGGTCCAAATTACTCGCAACTTTGAAATATTTTATATCTCACAAATAATACTCCAAAATTACGAGTAATTTGGATCAGATGTAGTATTTTTATCCTCCATAAATTATAGTAAAAAATTCTTTAAATCTCTCTTCTCGTCACATAAACTCTTAAAATATTATGCATCTTCTAGTAGTTGCACACTACTGACACTAGTACTCTGTATGAAGAGGCATATATCACAAAAGCAATAAGGTGGTACAATCTGGTGACAACAAGATTATGGGAGTGAGTTGTAAGTTTGTAGTAACATACTTCGTATATTATTTGCAGAGTGCTAAAAAATCTTCCGACATGGATGTCCCTTCTACAGAGAAAAATTACAAATAGAGATAAACAAATAATGTACTCCAGCATTGCATTATACAAAGTATTATTATTTGTAATGTCTACCTTTTATTCTATTATGTTTATAAGAGTAATACATATACATCTAAAGGATTGATAATTCTCAAAAAAAAAAAAAAAATGTGTAGTCGGTGATAATATGTTAAATAGTACTGTCAAAACGGTTTGATAGTTCGGGTTAAGTTTGGTTTGAAATCGGTTCAATATTAAATCGGGTCGGTTTGAAATTGGTTTAAGTGTCTCGCGGGTCGGTTTGAGTTCGGTTTAAATAGTTATCGGTTCGATTCGATTTTGGTTTATTCTTGAGTGGTTTTAATTCGGTTCGAATTGTAAACAATCCGGGTAATAAACGGTTCGATGCAGATGGGTTGCGGTTTGTTAATGGTTCGATGTAAACGATCTTTATCCCGGTTCAAACAGTTTCGAGTTGGAAACGGTTTCGGGTTAGAAACAGTTCGGCTTTTTTTCGTTTCAGTTTATAACTAGTTTGCTTTTTTTTTTTTTTTTTTTTTTTTTCCGGTTCAGTTCATAACTGGTTCGGTTCTTTTTCGGTTCAGTTTATAACTGGTCCGGTTCTTCTACGGTTTAACATTATTTGGATCGGTTCCATTTCGAGTTTACTAAATTACGGTTTGGGTCGAAAGATATTTTATACTATGATAATAATTTGGTAGGAAGATATTTTATACTATGATGAATTTTCAATTAATATTAATTTGACAAGAAGAATTTTTGTACTATGATAAATTTTCAAATTCTTAATGATTCTTTGTATTATCAATAGTAAGATTATTTTGCTTAACCTATATAATTACATTTAAAAAAAAAAAAGTTGGGAAAAATAATAATGCTCGATTGATAGTAAACATGTGTGCATAATTAAATTTCATTTAAAACACCTTTATTTAAATTTGATTTTAATATTCTCTTTATAGTAAGCCGATTCGTTTATAAGCGGTCCAGTTCATAAATGATTCGGTTTGCAAGCGGATCGGTTAATAAATGGTTCAGTTTATATATATACAGTTCAGTGCAAAGGGGTCACGGGTTGTTAACAATTCGGTGTAAACGGTTTTTATCCCGGTTCAAACGGTTTCGGGTTAGAAACATTTCAGTTCAATTTTATTTTAGTTCGGTTTAAAACTGGTTTGGTTCATTAACGGGTTCGGTTCTTATACGGTGTAACGTTATTCGAATCGGTTCGATTTTGGGTTCATTCATTCACATACAGTTCGGGTCGATTTTCGGTTTAAAAGAAAAACGGTTTTTAATCGGCTCGGTTCTTATTTGGATCGGTTTGTTTCAGGCATTTAAACGGTTTCGGTTTGAAATTTGACAGCAATAGTTAAGTATCTCAATAGTTCAATACTACGTTGGTGAACGATGGTGATTAGTTTCACTATCTAAAGATCCTCGATCCAATGCAAATGTAACACACTTAAGCTACATATGATTCTTCCGCTTTTTGACTTGTACAATATTGATATACTTCGTATTAACTATGATTGTAATTTTTTAGCTGATACTATCTCCCTTTTTTTTAATTGCAATTTTATATTTGGGATGATTTTGTTTCTATTAAATATTCTAATCTTATCAACAATTAATATTCTATTGGCCTCTAGCGAAGAATATGGAGAACTCGAGAGAGCGAGCGAAACTAGGGTTGTCTAGCGAATAAAATGATCTTTTACAAAGATCAAATAAAAAATTCAAGAAGGCTGGTGAGGAATCGAATTCCTCCCCTGTATTTCGAAATGAAATGGAGGTTTCTTCGGGATCGGAGCTTGCAGATGGAGAATCCAAACAAGAAGAATTCTTTTTCATCGGTGACTAAGGGATTAGATGGCTCTCTAAACTCGTTTTTTGATGGCAACGCTTCTGATGATGATAATTTGATTGAAGGTGAGGAGGAAGATAGCTCCTGCCCGATAATTAGGCTAACCAAGGAAGAAAAGAAAAGGCTGCGTAAACCTTGGAAAGATGCTCTGATTATCAAGTTGTTTGATATGCGTTTAAGCTATGATGTTCTGATTATACGCTTAAGAGTAAAATGGTGCTTGAAAGGGGACATCTCTCTAACAGATATTGGATGCGCATACTATATTGTGCGATTTAACAACCTGGAAGACTATGAATTTGTGCTTGCTCAAGGACCTTGGGTGATAGGTGATAGTTACCTTACTATCCGAAACTCACTGCGTGGGTTCGGATCCCAAATTTGTCAGTTGAATATTTTTACATAAAATAGGGTCAAAGATTGGGAAGGTGATTAGGATTGATAAGCACACTGAGTCTCAAAGCAGAGGTCAGTTTGTTAGATTTAGCATTGAGGTGGATCTAACCAAACCTCTTTTATCCAAGTTTCGAATGAATGGTAGGATATGGAAAATTCAGTACGAAGGTCTTCGAATGATTTGCTTTAAATGCGGCAAGCTTGGACATAAGGAGGAACAATGTGATATTCTTCATAAGGATGAAAACAGTAGCAATGCTCATGACAATGTGCTGCACAACAATGATATTTCAAGAGCCAAGGCTTCTAAACCTGAAGTTCATGACCAATTTGGTGCATGGATGATTGTCCAAAGGGGTAGCAAGAAACCTATCTACAAAGGAAGGCCTGAGCAGTCAGTTAAGGGTGCCCAAGTCCAAGGTAAAAGTGAGCCAGCAAAGCAGAACCTAAAATTGGGACATGTGCAGGCTAAACAGAAATCTCCTAATGTGGAAAAAGAATTGAGAAAACAAATGCCTAAACCTACGGGGTCCCGATTTGATATCCTTCAAAATGAGGCTGCAAGTATGGAAGGCACTTCTGTACTCCCTGAGAATCAACCTAAAGACATGAGTGAGAATGGGAAATCTGATAGGAAAAACTCTGGCAAGAGCAATGTTGCTCTAGGAAACGCAGTTAATTTAGGAGATGATATCATGATTGAAGATGTGGGAGTTCCACAAGGAAATATTTCCGATTTGGGAGGTACTGGGATTGATTTAGGAGAACCTATTGTTAGGCTAGGGAATTTTCAAGCTAAGGAGAAAGGAGTAAATTTTGGAAACAAATTTTTTGATCGAAATTTGGGTAAGGAATATCTTATTCCTAAAGATTCTGTTTTAATTCCGAAAGGAAAAGATTGTGATAAATCTTTATCAAGTAAGGAGATTTCGGTTGAAAAAAGATTACCTTTGGTAACAAAAAATAAAATAACAGAGAATTAAGGAAACAGAATAATAAAATAAATTCGTTTCCTTATTCCAAATCAAAGACCTCGTCTGGTAAAGAGAATTGGGTGAACTTAGCTTGGAAGTGAACTCGTATCTACCGCCAGCACACAATCCCCCGGACTTGTTAGCATCGTTTCAGATTCCGATAGAAGTGAACGGGCCAATGAGAGCCTTGAGGGAAGCTTATATTTCTCTCATGTCTAATGTTCCTCTGAGCACTTATGATAGATTTCCAAATTTCCCAAGTTTTAATATGTCAATAAAAATTTTAATTTGGAACGTTCAAGGTGTTGGTAATAAATTAACTCTGATTAGAGAGTTAGTAAGAATTAATAATCCTACTGTGTTAGTTGTTAAAACTCACATGAGTGGTGTTCAAGCTCAAAATATTTGTAACAAAATCCGATTCTCTGGTCAGACCCGTGTAGATGCGCAAGGGTTTGTTGGAGCGAGGTATATGGGTGTTTTGGAAATCTGAGGAAGTGACAGAATATGATAATCATTCCCAGCATGTGACAATTAAAATTCAACATCTTGATGAAGTCCCGTGGCTTTTCTCCGCTGTGTATGCAAGTCCTGATAGTACTCTTCGTAAGGAACTATGGGAGGAACTTGAAAAAATTAAAGGGAATTACTCGGGTCCTTGGCTTGTAGCAGGAGATTTCAACGAAACTACAAGTTTGAGGGAAAGGAATGGAGTTGGAGGTCCGGACATGTTGTGCAGGTGTAGGAATTTCTCCAATTGGATCGAAAACAACAGTCTCATTGATCTTGGATGCTCTGGTCCGGAACATACTTGGTTTAGAGGTAACTCTACCGAGACCTTTAAATCGGCTAGACTAGATAGGGTTTTGGTAAATGAAGAATGGCGTGCCTTATTCCTAGAAGGTGCGGTTAAAAATTTACCAAAATCCAAAAGCGATCACTGTCCGATAATTGTTAGTACGACTGGATTTGCTCTGATTCCAAATGCGGTGAAACCCTTCCATTTCCAAGCTGCTTGGATGAATCATGAACACTTTGAGAGCTTTGTTCGATCGAAATGTGTAATACCCCAATAATTCTCTTTTTAAACCTGTGAGGACCCTGAACAACATTCAAGAGAATTACTGGCGTGCTACCGCCACGTGTTCAAACGTTAAGGCTTTTATCAGAAAATAGCAGCGGAAAAACTAAATCAGTTATAAATAAGTTTCAAAACCAACGAATGAAACCAAATTAAGTCATACAACTTGGAACCATTAAGGGCCTTATTCAAAACCCAATAAAAGTAGTAAGTGATTAAATTCAGTGTTCAAATAAATTCAAACCCAAAAGAAATAGTGTCGAATAAAATCGAATTAAAATAAATTCAAACTTGCAAAAGAAATAAAATGCAAACAACCAACTCTCTACTCAAGATCCCACAACCCTGATGAATGCTGCATGTGTAAGAACCTGTGGTAATTCTGCTCCCCAATATTACAAGTGTAAAAATTGGATCGTCACAGGGTCATTGAAAGGCGAAGGCCATGACCAAAGAAAGACACAAAGCACGCAATCAGCAAAGCTGAGTACATACAAGGAACCACATATTATTATAGGGGTATGGGGTTCGAGACAAAGAAAGATCAAGGCAGCATATCAGTTTTTCCTTTATACTTTACTTGGATCTGTTTTTATGCTATTAGCTATTCTGTTGATTCTTCTCCAAACAGGAACCACCGATTTACAAATCTTATTAACCACAGAATTTAGTGAGCGGCGCCAAATCTTTTTATGGATTGCTTTTTTCGCCTCTTTCGCTGTCAAAGTTCCTATGGTACCAGTTCATATTTGGTTACCCGAAGCTCATGTAGAGGCACCCACGGCAGGATCCGTTATCTTGGCAGGAATTCTTTTAAAATTGGGAACTTACGGGTTTTTAAGATTTTCAATACCCATGTTTCCTGAAGCGACACTTTGTTTCACTCCTTTCATTTATACTCTAAGCGCGATTGCTATAATATATACTTCCTTGACCACTTTAAGACAGATCGATCTTAAGAAGATCATTGCTTACTCCTCAGTAGCCCATATGAATTTTGTGACTATTGGTATGTTTAGTCTGAACATACAGGGAATTGGAGGTAGCATTCTACCGATGTTAAGTCATGGACTGGTTTCTTCAGCCCTTTTTCTATGTGTTGGTGTTCTATATGACCGACATAAGACTCGACTTGTTAGATATTACGGAGGTTTAGTGAGCACCATGCCGAATTTCTCTACCATTTTCTTCTTTTTCACTTTAGCCAATATGAGTTTACCTGGTACTAGCAGCTTTATCGGGGAATTTCTCATCTTAGTAGGAGCTTTCCAAAGAAATAGCTTAGTAGCCACATTAGCAGCGCTTGGGATGATTTTAGGCGCGGCCTATTCCCTTTGGCTATATAATCGTGTGGTTTCTGGAAATTTAAAACCCGACTTCCTCCATAAATTCTCCGATCCAAATGGCAGAGAAGTTTTCATATTTATACCCTTTCTTGTTGGAGGGGCGACCGTCCGTTAAACTACCAAAGAAAAAAAGGGTAAACCAATGTGATCATGACATTGTAGGTGCTTGCGATGGGACGGATGCGACTTCCCTCAGTTGGTTTGGGTGGCATAGCCCGTTGCGGAAGTCCCCCCCTTTTTTTTCCATTTCTTTAGTCTTTCGTTTAGGGAGCCAAAGCTTTACTTTTTAAATCAAATAAGGCTCGCGCATGGGCGCTCACGTTTTTTGGCTGAGCCGTATCTTGTTGGGTGAGACCGAGAGAAAGAAAGGACGGAGGTTACCCTGGTAATGGCATTTCTCGACCGTGTCTCCGAGGGACAGTTGAACGAGCGACTCATGAATGCTGCCAGATCGAACGAGCCAATAACTCGAACGCTTTCGGTCTGTTTTTTGAGCAAGAATCGCAGCGTTACCTTACCTTCACCATGATACAGACTCCAAGTTCTTATGGCAGAGCACGAGGAGATTTTTCATCAATATGATGATGAGAATAGAAACCAGAAGCACGACCGGAGTCTTCGTGGTCCAAGATAAGAAAACCATCAATAAGAGTAACGTAAGCATGAGACTTTTTGGTAGTACCGGTGAACCAGATGGCCGCGGCGATAGAATCTGGGACGGAGGACTCGTAGTATCTCTCTAGATCTGACAAAAGCGAAAGACCCCCTAACGTAATTCGAATGGAGGCTGACTGCTGAGCCCACTCTGGCCTCGAAGGGCAAGCCCCCGTGGTTGCGAGTTGGAGCTGCCATTGCTTATGGCTAGAGCAATGGGAGGGGGCCCCGCAGAGAGAACAGTAAGGATAACGAGCGCTCCGCCCGCCAAGCGGGCGGCAGGAGCAGCAGGCAAGTGCTTGGTAGGCTAACAGCCCGGTGAACCGGGAAGAGCACTCGACGAAAGGAGGACACACTAAGCAAGTACGATAAATTGGCCCTGCTCCGCTTTCTTAAAAGCAAGGTGACCCCTGTTAAGGAGGTCAAACCAAGGACCTATGGAAGTCGGGGCTCGTCCCTGGTCAATATTGGATCAAACAATAGGAGGCCGTAGCGCTGACCTCTTTTTTGATTGATTCAATACAAGAGGGGAAAAGATCGTAAAGTTCCCTACCGAGACAACAGAAACTATCAACGGATCTTCTGCGCGCTGGGCATACTTCTTCCGTGCGTCTTTCTCGTGGCGGAAACAGAACAACAGGGAAAGACCCGGCCGACCTGCCCAGGTCGCCTTGGCGAGCTTTATTTAAGAGAGACTGGGGAGTAAAAAGACTTCCGTTTCCGTTCTTGGTTTGCTCTTCGCCTCTCGCTCTTTTTCGTAGTTGGGAAGAGGGAAGGAGTCTAAATCAATGGACATTAATGAACCATCATTGATGGACGTTGCACATGACACGATCAATTCGACTCAAGGTCCTTCGCTAATAGAAGTAGCTTACTCTCCTAGTAGCGAAGGAAAAGGGCAGGTCTCTTTTTTCGTAGTAATAGTGGGCGGGTCTCATGAGATCTATGCCGGCCGCAAAAATCAAACGAAGGTCGAAGGACCATTCGATATGATTAAGGGGCATAGCGGCGCCCTCGACTGGTGCCATTCCCCGACCTAGCAGCAGACGGGCGGGCCGTGCCTGAATTCAGACCAGACTTTTCTTTGTTTGAGCTGTTCCCACGCACGCAGAACGGAAGATCTCAGTTGTCCTGGACTGGACAAGTACGTAGGGCCCCCGTTGAACAGAGTTAGGTTATTACCTGCCTCTACGGAATAAGTTTACTTTGTACCGTCCGGAGGTCATATAGATCGGAACCCGGAGCGATAAGAACGAAAGCCCTACCCACAGCTACAACTACTGGGACTTCAAAAAGCTTAGATTTTAAGGTAATTCCTATTTGCTTACTTGATAGAGTAAGGGCGCTACTGAAAGCTTTTTTAGGTCGTGTAAGAGGTGTAAGCCTCGAAAGCCTTTGGTATTTCGGTAGAGCGAGCAGCCCTTAAACCAAAAAAATTTTATAGTACCTTCTCCTATTTCTTCATTTCATTCTTTATTTGGCCCGCTTCAAACAAAATGAGAAAAAGGGGGAGGCCTTTTGATTCGAAGTCACTACAAAAAAAAATTCAAAAAACTTTCGAAGGAAAGGCCTTCGCATTCCTAATCCGGTAGGGCCGGGCAGCTTTAGCTTGGCGAATCGCATCCCCGCGCAACGACATCGCTCTTTACCGTTCTCGCTCAGTCTTTGCAACGGCCGGGAAGGCAGTCGTAGAAGCGAAGCCTATCGCCCCGCCGACCATCAAATACGAGATTGGGCCCCTTCTCCAAAATTGGATGGAATGGCCCACCCCACCCAAGAGCGCTTATGTCATATGGGAACTCATGGCTGGAAACAATCCTTATGGTTTTGATATCCGGTAGGAATAATAAGAATCAAAGTCCAGGTTGGTTGGTGAGCCTAGTGATAGGAAACTATCTAGCTTGGTTCGGAGAGCACTTGTTGGGTTAAAGATTTTTTTTGCTAGATGTTATGGCCTAAATGCTGAACTATTGACTCTACTTGTTTGGATGGGTGTTCACCCCAAAGTGTTCCCGGACCGCATGCATACATCCGTAAGTAACTTAGTGCAACATGGAAAATTTCATTGAGAGGAATCAGCAAAGAAAATAAAAAAAGGTCCATTTTTGTGTATTTGAAAGATTGTCCTCGGGCTGAAGAGTGTCCATATGAGTTCGTTCAGGTGTCTACACAGGCCTGTGGTCTTCTTTTATATTCTGTCGTGAGTTAAGATTGCTCCACCTAAGTAGAACGAAAAGGAAGATTTGATCTATGTCGTTCTTTTAGTCAGTGGATGTTACAACGCTTCAATCAGGCTTTGAGACCTAAGAACTCAATTTCGTAAGCGAATATGCCAGATTGAATGTCAATGCTCTCATTTCCTGAAACCAACCCCCAAAGTAAAAAGCTGATATTAAAATAGCATATGTAAATAAGTTTAAGATCAAGTTCTTCTGTTCTCTCAGTTCCTTTCTTCCCCGAGACAATCTCTAAAATACAATCTCACATGTCGGTTGTTAACCAAGGGTATACCACTTGAGGGAGGGCAAAATCAATCAGATTCTGACCTGAAAAGAATGAATTTCTCTTGAACTTCTCCACTTCCCACCTAGAGCAGCTTCGCTCGCGGTGATCTAATTATTGGACTAGCTGAACTAAGACTAAGTAGATCTTCTAGAACGACTGCCGGACCATTCCATTCATTGTCTTCTTCTCAACCTCTCCTCTCTTCGGTGACTCTGAACTACCAAGCTAATCTCTAGTCGAAGGTAGTTTACTTGCTTACTCAAGAGAGTCAAAAAAGAGGGACTGCTACTCTTTTTTACCTACTTATCTAACCACCCTTTTTTGCAAGAGACGCTTTGTCCACTTCCTAGCCAAAGCCCAATTCACCACGTGAAAGTTCGTCACTATCAATAGCTCCTTACTTAGACCCTTCCTTCCCCATAGCCACTGGCTCACGACCTTTCGACTCTCGCTAAAGAAGAGAAATTAACCCTTAACTTCTCATACCGGATAGGCTCTTGGACTTGGAGCTCACAAATGCGCCGTTTGAGTGAACGAATGCGCTGTTATGAGCTAACGAGTTTTCCTTTTTTTCTGCTGAACTCGGAGAAGAGGAGGTAGCGGTTCGTGCTTGAGTTGAATCACTTGACTTTGGCCCTATCTTTCTATTTAGATAAGTAGTAGATCCCCTTACCAGGAAATGAACTAGGTAAAAGCTATAGGCAGCTACCTGGTAGGCAACTCGTCAGGAAGAGTCTATATCACCGATAGGCCAATTAGATGGAATTACAGAAAGCTGTATAAGTTAGAAGAAGGAGCAAAGGGTTGAAAGCGGACAGATGCCATCGAATCGGATGTCTTCCTTCAATCCGCTCTTAGAGTTCGAGAATCCAAGCGCAGTCAAGTCAGTACGTACCAATGCCTTCGGTCGGTAAGTCATTAAGGCCTGCTCTAGGTGACTTGGAAGTGCCTGAAGCTAAGAAGTAAGTCTACTTTTACTTCTTAGTCTAGGTCTTAGAAGCACAAGCGGGAGCCAGGGGGAAGGCCTTCAGGCCGCTGGTGGAACTCCCAGGGAATGGCTTTCTACTAACTAATAAGAATCTCTTTATAGAACCACACTAAACAAACTATCTATAACCTCAGGGGCTATAATAGGATTAGCTAGTTTGCTTGTTCTGAAGAAGGAAAAACGTTGCCAGCTCTTCTTTCCGATCTTGGTTGCTTTCCGGTCCATTGTTCGATTCTATAGCTGATGTAGCTTAACTCCATCTCTCGTATCGGCTAATCAATGAGTGGGGGCATGAGAAGTAGGCTTAGCTGCCCTCAAAACAAACACTTTCTAGCCTCCTAAAGGAAGTCTTAAAAGATAAGATAAGGCTATGCGCACACAAGCTAACTTCAGGTATGCCGTTAGTTCTCAAGCGATTCCCTTGTTGACTTCGCATCTGAGGTGCGACCTTAGCCTTAGAGAGCTTGTTTTGGCAGCTACTCTCTTATAGTGAGGAGACAAGGTTACGCGCTGGGTAGCGAAGCGCATCTGTTTCGAGTACAGAGGCGACGAGGGGTGCTAACCCGGCCACCCAACCCAGCAGGTCAGGGGTGGGCCGGCCATAGGTTCGAATCCTGCCGCCTTTCTTGTGGATCATCCTGTGGTTACCGGATGATGGGAATAACAGAAATTTTTTAATGAGCACGAAATGTCAATATATGAATTGTTTCATTATTCGTTATTTCCGGGTCTTTTCATTGCATTCACTTACAACAAGAAACAACCACCAGCGTTTGGTGCAGCACCTGCATTTTGGTGTATTCTTCTTTCTTTCCTTGGTCTTTTGTTCTGTCATATTCCTAATAACTTATCCAATTACAACGTATTAACCGCTAATGCACCTTTCTTTTATCAAATCTCAGGGACATGGTCTAATCATGAAGGTAGTATTTTATTATGGTGTCGGATCCCAAGTTTTTATGGATTCCTTCTTTGTTACCGGGGTCGATCCCAAAGCCATAATGTCTCAAAACGAGGAGGCCGTAGAGAAAGTCTTCTTTTTTCCTTTGTCTTAAACTTCGTGAAGAACTCCATTCTATCTCTTCCTCGTTACGAACAAAAAAGTAGAGTTCTTCACGAACCCCAGTTGTACACTCTCTTCGTTCTACGAACTCTTGTTGATTCTGAACTTTGTTCGCGAAGGAACCGGACTTTTGACGGGCCAGTTATTTTTGACGCACCGCTTTACCCTGAAAGGAAAATGAGCTTTGCTCTTCTGGGCGCTAGGCGCTCTCGTGGTTCGCGAGAAGGAAAAAGGACTCATCCTTTGTTGCATCTGGCACGAGATGATAAAGAGAGAGCTTCGTCTATCAATGAACAGCGGATTGACGGAGCTCTTGGCATTGCTTTCTTTTTCTTTCCTTTCCTATCAGCGAGTTCCGATCCTTTTGTTGGAAATTTCTTCGTTCGTACCGAACCGCTTGCAGAATCAAATCCTGTTCCACAAGATCTTATATCAGCTATACATCCTCCTTGCATTTATGCCGGAGACGTCGCCAGTGCTATGGGCTTTGGCTTATGTAGATCAAAAATGATGAATGGGATTGTGGCACTCCACTCGCCGCCAATGCGGAAGGATGTCGCCGAAAAGAATGGAACGCTGCTTTGCTCTGCTGGATGCGTCGGATCCCGTATAACAAGCGAGCTCTTTACCCTTAAATTCAAACATGTGGGCGCCAAATGCTATCCTGCTCTATTGTTGCGTAGCAAAAGAAGCCTGCTCATGCTGCTTCGACGGCGCTTTTTCGCCTTCTCTTCGCTCTGGACAAGAGCGCTAGTGGACACGGGGAGGGAGCGGGCGAAGCGTTTCTTTCGTAATGGAAAGACAAAGACCACTACTTTGCCTCTTTGTTGGACCGCCGACGCGAACACAGTGGTCTCTGACCAGGACCAGGAACCAATTCGAATTTGGATCTTGACATGTCGGTGCTTTTTAACCGTAGGCATCTTGCCAGGAAGTTGGTGGGCTCATCATGAATTAGGTCGGGGTGGCTGGTGGTTTCGGGATCCCGTAGAAAATGCTTCTTTTATGCCTCGGGTATTAGCCACAGCTCGTATTCATTCAGTAATTTTACCCCTTCTTCATTCTTGGACTTTGCTTCTTAATATTGTGACTTTTCTATGCTGTGTCTTAGGAACCTTTTCAATACGGTCCGGATTGCTAGCTCCCGTTCATAGTTTTGCTACAGATGATACACGAGGAATCTTTTTATGGCGGTTCTTCCTTCTAATGACCGGCATATCTATGATTCTTTTCTCTCAGATGAAGCAGCAGGCATCGGTCCGTAGAACCTATAAAAAAGAGATGGTTGTAGCGCGAAGTACTCTTGTGCACTTACGTCACTTGGCTCGCGCGCAACCTCACCCCCTTATGTTATGGAAGAATTGAGCTTATTGCTGGGCTGGTTATTCAGAGCCAACAATTGGCTGCCAGATTTCGTCCCGCAACTAGAAGAAGATCACTTCGGGGATCACTGCGGCGTGACTGAATGTAGAGCAGTCCGCTCTTACAGCCTTTGATCAGTAGATTATTTAGAACTTCGGAAGATGGTCAAGGTAGCTTACTTCCAAGCCACTGCACCAGATGCGCATGGAGTCTACGTAGTCGGCCCAGAATTTTTCTTCGTTCTCCACTAGGCGAACCCGCCGGGTTAGCTCAACGTAAAGAAAGCTCATTAGGTCAAAACTAAGGGAGTACTTACTAATAGCGAAAGGCTAACATCTCTCCGCCTTTCTTAATAGAAGAGTAGCGAACATCTGATAACTTCGTGCTGTAAGACGACAGGTTGGTAATGAAAGGCAATGTACTAAGAAAGCGCAACTCTATTAGCCCTTTATATGATATGGAAAAATCTGGAATAAGAAGAATCATCCTATAATTCTTCGTATCTCAAAAGTATCCTCCTCCCTCTGGTCCATTACCTTTCCAAAAAGTCTTGGGCCAAAGCTTTATCACCGTGCCCGCTTCTAGTAGCTAGTAGGTCTTCCCGGATCGGATAAGGCTTCGATAAAGAAGTGAATCAGTCCGAAATGCTATGGATAGATAGTTTGAGCCAATATCAATCCGATCGGGAATGAGAGTACCTGACCTCTTGCCTATTCAGCAGTATTTTTTATACCGCCGCACTCTTTATAGTCGCGACTGTTGTCATGAAAAAAAGTGAACATGAAGATGAATATTTCACATGGGGGAGTGTGCATCTTTATGTTGGGTGTTCTTCTGTCGTGCGACCCGGCGGCTTATGTGCGACCTGTGGCCCACGCCTCCTATTTGTTCAGGGCGGGCGGCGTGAACTCTGATTCGATCCGGGTATTCAATCCCGCCGTTGAGGTGCTCAATTGAATCCTTAACCTTGATAGGAAGATGGCTTATTCAATAATTCGTGCATAAGGGTAAGGAACTTTGGATGAACTAATGCGAATGGGTGTAAGCTTCGCTGCTCGAAAACACCCAGTGCTGACCACACTGAGAGACGCGAACGCGCAGGTAACGCCAGTTGGCGAAGTGGCGTTAAGCATCCCTAGCGGTACGAAAAGAGAGGTCGTGATGATATCATCTACGTCCGTACCGCTCCTCGTGGAGTAGATCCCGCATCCAACTAAGTCTTTGACCAGGGAACGGGATAATTCCCACTACCGCTGGCAGGCCAGCCGGGCCGTGAGCGCGGTGGGAACGGGCTTCCCAAAAAGCCAGCCCCGGCCGGGGTCAGCATAGAATGAAGGGGACGGCCCTAATGTTGTGTTGGCTTTGCCAACTTCTTGGGTTGCGGGCGGAAAAAGCGGACGTGGGGACTCGGGTCGGAGCGCAGCGTAACTAAAAGAGCCATTCCATTTAGGACGAGACGGAATGGGCGGGCACGAGCGGTCTAGTGTCCGAGCCGATTGATCAGACGACTACTTAACTTATTAGATTAGTATTAGCTGCCTATCCCGGAATGGAATGGGATAGAAAGAACGCAAAGCGCTAGCGCTATAGGGTAGGTTTTGGGGGGGAGAAGCTTGTGAAGAAGCAAGCTTCTCCCCGCCCCGACCGACAGCTGCTGGGTCTCCTCATCTCTTCTTAACTTCCCCCGGTCTTCGGCCTGAGCTGTATGAGGCAGAAACTCGTCTCACGTACGGTTCGAAGGCCGAGCCCCACCCCAGCAGTAATGGTGCGGCTTAGGTCAACTAACACAAAGAAGATACAGTTCACTCAACGATTGCCTTTGGGTTCCGAACTCCATATGGGGAAGGAACGTTGTTGTTTGCGGGGTCTCGATCATTTACATGGACCCACTTTTCATTCCATTTGTGGGAATTTGATGATCTATAAACCGTCCTTAACGAACGATCGGCTCATCTTTGAGCATGATGAATCACTTCGTGCCGACCTGTTGTCAATAAACTTTTGGGCCTCATATGAGAATGGAAAACTGGAGCATTTTCTGCATCGGTGGATGAAGAATCGCGAACATCCAAATTTCTGGTTAAGCATGTTCCCAGAAAAAAGATACTTTCGAGAAACAACGAGCACGACTGAAGTGGCTATCCATACAAATCCATTTACGGATCTATATGCTTCGATTGGAACTGGAAGTTCAAGAACAGGCGGCTGGTATACTACCATAATGAAACTGCCTTTTCTTTTTTTTATTCGGATAGGATTTCTGTTGGCTTCGTTGGGAGGCTCGCGTAGTTTGTTACGTCAACTCCAAAAGGAGAAATTGCGTTGGAATTGAGAAAGTTACGTAAAGTTCATAATTGTATAAAAGGAGTCAAAGTAGTGACTGCAGCGCATCGAGGCATTTTGCCCGCATCTTCGCTATGTATACTAGTTCAAGTGATTATCCATTTGAATTATAGCTTGGTCTCAGAGATCCTACATAACCGCTGCTAGGAGTTAGCACGAATCAACTGTGGGGACTTGCCTAAACTGGATTGGATCAATATAATATTCAACATATGGCACTGCCTCAAAGGCCTTACCATACCACTTAGCTCAAGCCAGTCTAAGTGATTGGCTGAATACCGAGAATAGAGTCTCCTCTTGGGGTTTCTCCCGGATGGGGTACTACACTGTAGCGTCGGCTGTTGCTTTGGAATGGAGAACTAATCAATCGAGGAATCGGAATCCTACCTCTTGCGAGTTGACCTCCGTCAGTGACTGTTCACTTTAAAGCGGGAGAAGTCGTAATTAGTTGGTGTACAATTTCAATAAAAACAAAAAAAAAACTATTGAATGCGAAGGGGGAAATGGGATATCTTTCAATCAAAGCTATTCCTTTAGCTTGGCGTTTAGCTACTAAGCTATGCGGGTCATCAGCAATAGACTGCATTAGTGAAGGAAATATAGCATCAAAGGGCGCTTATCCTGCTAATCGTGGGTCTTGGTAAGTACCTGACAGACTAAAGGCTTGGAACTTAACTCAATGCTGGGTTGACTGCAGGGAAGCTTTACTTAAGTGGATTCGGCCCTACCTTGGCTACGAACCTATTCTCGCTAAGAGCTAAGAACTAGGCATTTCAAAGCAATTACCTTCTTAGCTTACAGAATCTCTTGAAAAAAGAAAGTCTAGCTACATGCTTAACGCCGGAAATTATGACCTTGGTTGGTGATATTCGACCAAGACGAGGCCTATATCTGAGAGCTTGAACTGGGCTTGGATGAAAGAGTAGCAGAGTCAATTCCTGAAGCTGGTAAAAGGCACTTATACTCCATGATATGGCACTGATTGCAGATGGACATTCAATTGGATCTTTCTCTTTCCTTAATTTCTTTATCTTTCGGGGGCCTTCTTCATCTATGCCCTCAATAGCAATAGTCAGGCTTTTACTTGAGTTGTTGGGAAGTGTGGTGGGGTAAGAGCATCTGTCGATTCCTTCCGGGCTATATAGGGAGTGATTTCCGTTCTTGAGTGAATTCAGATGTCACTCTCTTTTCTTTCAATGGTATCCTTCTTTATCCGAGCAGAAGATCGCCTCCTCTCTTCTTTGGCCTACTGGCCTACTTAAATGAAAGGCCTTGTGCGAGCACAGCAGCTTGACTGAGGCTGGCTTAGTAAAAAAGGGAATAGGATAGGACTTGTTCACCGTAAGTGGGAGATTCTTGGGTGAGTGTTAGCGAAAGGCCTTCCAGACAACTCTTTCAGCTTAGGACAACCTTTACCCTTCTTAACCTATTTAACAGCAATCTATAAGTTGAGTAGAAGAAAGAGGGGTTTTGATGGGTAGGCTTGTTGTGCTTTGTCCCTTCTGCGGGCTTTCATCGAGGAAAGAGCAAGACCAAGTCTTCACATTTGTAGGACTTTCTTTGATGGTTCATGTAGGCTGGGGTCTTTCATTCGGGCCCTATTGGGGCACCCTGTGGGCCAATGCGTATAAGCTTGGGCTTTCTTAACGCGGCTCATTTGTTGACGACTCAGTACATGGATGTCACGAGTCTATTGGCATAGAATATGGAATCTTTTCCACGTAAGCTGGTTGTACAAAGTTTGTTTGTTCATACAGGCAGTGTGATTTGGGGAGATTTTCTTTGCTCCGCAAGGTAGCCAGAGCCAGCCAGTTTTTCATTAAACAGGCATGATAGTTTTCAACTGCAG